TAAATTTCAACGCACCTAAGAGAGAGAGAGAGAGAGAGAGAGAGAGAGAGAGAGAGAGAGAGAGAGAGAGAGAGAGAGAGAGAGAGAGAGAGAGAGAGAGAGAGAGAGAGAGAGAGAGAGATTAGACTCCATAGCAACAAAGACAGAGATACGTAACGGAGAGCACACACACGCACACACGAACACATACAATGTAGAATATAGCAACTGGGTGTCACTTACTGCTTGCGTGGCGGCGTGTTTGAACAGCAAACTCCAAAATCAATGTCATTTCCACAGGAAGACTACTGGTGTCTCCATGACTGCTCCAGTGCGTGACATATGCTACAAGTTCAAATATCATGCTACATACTTTTCATCACGGCTTGATTGTTTTGTTAAAATCTTTTTCTACGAGTACTGTAATTTCAGAGTTTTCCTCAGTAATTCTTTTCATACTTCAAGTTTCAATACCTTCACAAACACTGACAAGCATCATACAAATGGGAGCTGCCTCTCTGTACGTACCTAGAACTTTCTATTTTAGATCACAGCATTATTTTAAATTTTGTGCAATTGTCTGCTCCTCCACTACATGTCTACATGTACCAGTTTTTTTCATGCTCTTACCGTCACAGTGCACGCTACGCTGGGGTAGTTTGTACGAGTAAGATCAAAACACCGCTAGCTAACGAACGTCAACCGATTAGCAAAAAACAACTCTTCTCTATGAAACTACCAGGGTCGACTCCATACAAGTAATCTGCAAATACCAGAAATACCTAATGGCCAACACCAGGCTATGCACTGCTCCAGTGAATGTTACTGATTGAACTAGTAGTAGTAGTACTACAAAGTCATGTAGTACTAGTACTAGTACTACTACTAGTACTAGTAGTCTTGCCTCTTGCTGTCTAGGTACTCGTACATCTACGATCCAGTACAATGACTATGTAGTCCGCCAATATTTTCAAACGCACACATTAAAAAAATAATGTTTCAATTATTTTTGAAGTCAACATTATGTTCCCACCGAAAAATACATGAGAGATCCCGGGATCGGGAGTCTACCGGTCCATGGTCTACCCATGCGTGACGAAGCAGCGTAGACCTAGGGCGCGCCAAGGTTCCTGCGGCGCTCAGATTGGTTTTTCGAACAATGACGAGCATAAACACAAAATGTTCCGTACTACATGTACATGTACTAGTACCACCGGTACTACCGGTAATACAGTAACATAACGACGTCAGTGCCAGTAGTGAGTCGAGTAGCCTAGAGAGTAGAGGCAAAAGGACAACAGGCTGCTGCCGTGCTGGGAGAGCTGAACAGGCTAACGAGCGCAGTACGGATGCGACCTGGACTACAGACTACATACAGACTCACGTGAGTGCGTTCGATTTTGCCCACAAATCAATAATTTTTGAACCCATGAACGTGAATCCATTCATGAATCCATTCATAATCCATTCATGAATAGTATAATTCATGATTGGATTATTTATTACTACCGACCGTACTGGCAATATATGTTGCCGCGTAACGCGTAACGCAGGGGGGTGCGGCGTAACGCGCGACCAGGCTAGTGCGACGAATTTTCGTTGCGTTCGTAACGCGCGTCCGGCGGGGTGCGGCGATCTTTTCATTGCAAAAAAGGCTGAAAACTGTGAAAGCACGTGTACCGCGTGGTGAAAAGTTCTAAACTGGGTGCAGCAAAAAAAGGACTGCGGCAATATAGAAACCTGTGTAACGGCTCCTGTGCGACTTTGCATGTAACGCCCTGCGTGCGGTAAACATGTGCCAATGTAACGCTTCATGGCCTCACTGCGACCATATATATTGCCAGTACGGTAGTACCAAAAGTACATAACCAAGAGTGTGCAACTCTACGATCCGCCAGCCCCCAGCGGAATTTTTTTATGACATCAGTCTTTCATGGTCTTTGGCGGCGGTTTAGCTCACTGATGCCATCATGCGTAGCCAGAGATCGAAGTGCAAATAATTTGTACATTACAGCTACGGTAGTCGAAGCAGAACAACGGACGAAAGATCGACGTGTCTTGAACCTGACGAACTCTCACCGTATCTACAAAACAAGCGCGGGAAAGAATACCGACTTCATCATACTTCTGCCAAAGGATGAGGCAATAAAAAAATTCCGCCGCGGGTGAACCCATCGCAGCTCAAGATAGGAGTTTCACACTCTTGGTTATGTACTCTTGCTAACAATTAGTACGGCCCTGGCTATTCTCATCATCCCCTGTGTGAATAGACGTTATTTCATTACATCATCAGTTGATGCTTCAACGAAAAGGCTGCGGACTCGCGGCACAGCGCTGCACTTGCTAGGGGTAAGCGGATTATGCCGGCATAATTTTTGGCATAATCAGGTCCTTTTTGAGAAGGAGCATACAATTGCATCCGAAAAAGAAGGGCCGATGCCCAATGAGACTGGTATACACACATAATAATAAATGATAATTGAAGGCTTAATTGCCATTTTTAGAAGGAGCATAAAACTGTGATATCGGCGATATCAACAGTTCATGCACTCAAAGTCTCTCTCTCTAAACTACGATCACAATCAATGCTACGACACAGTCGCAGACTTTCACAGTTGAACTCGGGGTCGAGAGAGCCTAACTCTCGGGAACGTACTTCTCTTGGTCTGAATCACGGAAAGGCAAAGAATGATTGTGAACACTAGCAATTTATAGAGGAAGTTAGCTATCGGGGAGATCGATAAAACAGCGCAGCGGAGCAGGGAGAAGGATCGCTAGATCGAGATGGACAGCGTAGAGTACGGAATAGCTAGCGGGAGAACAGCGGGCTTTGCGGCAGAAAGATCGAGACTACGGGAAAAGACAGCGAGAACTAGCGGAAAGAATATCGAAGAGAAACAATGGAAACGTTATGTTTAGGTAGCGAATGAAGAAAGAGAAAGAGACGCCAGCGGTGTAACGGAATCCATAACTAATTGCTAAAGCAAGGGAGACAGTGTAGGAAAAGTGATATCTATTATTATGTGTGTGGACCAGACAGAGTGGCGGCAGGAGGAAGAATAAAATCTGTGAAGCATTCAGGCTATTGACTGTGGTGTGCAAAAAGCGTGTCTATCAGGCCGGCGTACAGGTTTCTATAGATGACAGGTCATGCATGCAAAGTGTCACGTGCTCCTACGCTACGGTGCGCCAATACTACACCACACCTTGTTTTCTTGAGAACACGCCCTCGTGTTCAAAGTATACAGGTAGTAAACATGAAAGAAAAATGAAGCAGGGAAAACAATATAGATAAGGGTGTCTTACGATGACGTTTAAAATGATCTTACAATTTATGGTTGTCTATAGCGGTGAGGTCGCTGGAGTGCATTCCGAGGCCGGAGGTTATAGCGAGGCGGCGGGCCAGCCAGCGGTACGGGTAGGTCGTCATCGCAGGTCGGGTTAATCTGGGCCGTATACTGTGCAGGAGCGACTGGCACTTCAGGCGGCCGAATATACGGCTTGAGGCGGTTTACGTGGACCGTCAGCCGTTGGCCCTTGCTGGCGTCTTCGATGGTGGCAGTGACAGAGTCCAGCACCTTACGGACAACGAACGGGCCGGACCAGTAGCTGTGTAGTTTGGGCGACTTTCCTTTCGGGACGACGGGCGAGAAGACGGACACTTCAGCACCGACCTGGAGACGTGGCTTTGTGTGGACGGTGCCGTCATAACCCTTCTTCTGGCGACGGAGGGCGAGTGCATTCAACTGGCGGGCATTAGCAAAGGCTGTCTTAAGGGACGCTTCCAGTTGCTGGACATAGAGCGGGTAGTCCGGATGTGGGCGTGGAGGTGAACCGTACATGATGTCCAGAGGGAGCACCAGTTCTCGACCAAACATGAGACGGCTAGGAGTGTGCTGGGTGGAGGCATGCACGCAGGACCGGTACGCAAACATCGTCCGTTGCAGGTGTAAATCCCACTCCTGATGGTCGGTGACACAGGCGGAGAGCATCTTCTCAAGCGTACGATTGAAACGTTCTATCATGCCATCCGACTGTGGGTGATAGGCGGTTGTCCTGGTCTTGGTAATATCCAGCAGCTTACATACGGTCTGCATGAGTCGGGACTCGAATTGAGGGCCCTGGTCGGTATGGAGAGCGAGAGGTACACCGTAACGGCACACGAAGCCATCAACAAAGTAGCGGGCAACGGTGGAAGCAAGCATATCTGGCATGGCGAAAGCTTCCACCCACTTTGTGAAATAGTCGCCGATGACGAGGATGTACCGATTTTGGCGTGCCGTGGCGGGTAGCGGGCCCATGATGTCCATGGCAACACGCTGAAGCGGGAATGACGACTGTTGACTGCGGAGAGGAGCGGCAGGCTTTGGGACTGGGCCTTGGCGAGCTTGGCAAACTGGGCAGGCCCGAATAAACACTTCAATGTCCGAGGTCATTCCCGGCCAGTAGTAGCGCTGTCGAGCTTTGTCGGCCGTCTTCGTGATGCCGAGGTGAGCAGCAATAGCGTCAGTGTGGAGCGCAGTCAGGATGTCCTGGCGAATTGCAGATGGGACAATCAGCTGGTGAATTGGTTCGGCGGTCGTGTCATAGCGTCTGACGAGGAGGCCATCCTTGATCACTAGGCGGTCAATCTGTTGCCAGAGTTTGAGCAGAGATGAACTGGCGGTTTGAAGAGCAGGATCACCACGAAGCGGAGTGGTTGTCGACAGCCAGTTTAGCACGGCTGAAATGTCACGGTCAGCGGACTGGAGAGAGAGCATGTCGGGCGCCGCACCAGCAGCGCATTCCTGGGCAGTAACAACAGACACACAGACTGCGGGCAGACGAGAAAGAGCGTCTGCATTAGCATGTTTCGTACCAGGACGATGAACAATGTTATAATCAAAGATCGACAATCGCTCAATCCAGCGGGCAAGCATGCCATCAGGGGACTTGAAGGAGGCAAGCCAGACAAGAGCAGCATGATCGGTGCGGAGCGTGAATTTGGAACCCAGGAGATAATGCCGGAAAGATTCACAGAAATGAACTACTGCAAAGCACTCTCGATTGGTCGCAGTATAATTTTTCCGACTCTTGGACAGCGTAGCACTACCATATGCAATCACAACTTCACGACCCTGGTCATCTGCCTGAGAAAGAACCGCCCCGATTGCATAATCACTGGTATCGGTATCTAAGATAAATGCACGTGAAGAATCAGGATAGCCCAGGACAGGAGCAGAAAGGAGGCAAGACTTGAGCCTGTCAAAGGAAGACTGTGCCTCTGAAGACCAAACAAATGGCACATTCTTGTGAGTGAGACGGAGAAGAGGCTTAGCCACTGCAGAGAAATTCTGGATAAAGCGCCGATAATAGGAGACAAAACCCAAGAACTGTCTGACCTTAGTAGACGAATCAGGCGTTGGCCATTCACGAACGGCGGCGGTCTTCTGGCGATTGGGAGCAACACCCTCAGCACTGAACGTATGACCGAGGTACACGACTGAAGGCTGGAAAAGACGACACTTAGAAGGGCGGACCTTGAGGCCAGCCGACTTAAGACGCTCAAACACCGAACGAAGACGGGTCAGCGGAGTATTGAATGACTGGGCATGTACAATGATGTCATCAAGATAATCAAGGCATACATCGGGAATCAAACCCTGGAGCACAGTGGTCATGAGGCGTTGAAAAGTGGCAGGGGCATTGCAAAGACCAAATGGCATCACATTCCACTCATACAACCCAAATGGAGTAGCAAACGCAGCTTTAGCCTTGGACGAATTCTCCAGTTCAACCTGCCAGTAACCACTAGCCAGATCAAGTGTGGAAAAGAACCGTGCACCATTCATATGATCAATAGCGTCATCAACTCTGGGCATGGGGAAAGCATCTTTGCAGGTGACACCGTTCAACTTCCGATAATCAACACAAAGGCGGATACTATTATCAGGCTTACGTACAACGACGATGGGCACGGCCCATGGACTGCTAGATGGGGTGATGATACCATCATCAAGGAGGCGGTCAACATGATCTCTGACTTCAGTCTGCTGATGAACTGGGAGCCGGCGAGGCGCCTGGCGAATAGGACGAGCGGTCCCAGTGTCGATGTTGTGTTGGACAACACCTGTGCGACCAACATCACCTGAATCTGTGGATATGCAACATGAAAACTCTTCCAACAACAGAGACACGGCACAACGCTCAGAGTCACCCAAATGGGCCAGATCAAACAGAGAAGCAACAGAATCAACAGAGCTGTGGGTAGCATGAACAGGCAGGGCATCCGCCGGGGCAGATGACTCGGGATCAACAGAGCAAGGGCTAACAGTAGCTACCCAAGTGCCTTTCTTAAGAGTGACAGAGGCCTGGTGTGTACTAGCAGCACGGAGCGGAACAGGCTCAGCGAGGGGACCCGAAACAACACTGTAAGTAGCGGATATGTCAAACACCTCATGAAGGTCAGGGCGGGGCTCAAGAAGAAAGTCACCGGTGGGAAGTGGTGCATCACAAGCAACAGGAAGAATGACTTGGGAAAAGGGCTGAATGCAAAATACTCTCCGTTAAGCGGACACGACAGTTAGCGGGGAAGGGAGGTGGGGTATTGTTATCAAGGCGACAGGCATTGTGTGAAGCAGGCACAGGCTCAAAGGTAAGTCGACGGTTACTATTGTCCAAGATACAGGCATGCAAATCAAGGAAATCCAACCCTAGGACAAGTTCTGGCTGGATATCAGCAACAAGGACGTCATGACGGAATGCACGGCCACCAACAGTAACAGACACAGACAGCTTACCCAACACAGAGACAGGGGAGCCATTAACGGATTGAAGTCGTGGAAGGGAAGACTTGCTCAAGGATAGGTGATCCGGCAGCCGAGAATACAACTGCATACTGACCATGGATACCGCAGAACCTGTGTCAATAAGAGCTACAGCAGACACATCCTCTGCAGAGGCAGGTACAGAGAATGAGGAGGCAGCATTGACAGAGGTAACAGGCACAGGTGGTTGTACAGTCGGCAAGGAACACAAACCAGAAATCTCAGAGACAAGAGTAGAAAAGGGAAGGCGGAAGGCCTGAGGATTCGACCGGTACACACACCACAGAACGGGAGGACAACACAACAGCCAAGGAAACAAAATGCAGAAATGGATGCAACCCAGTGCAAACAGAGCGATGGCAACGAAGTCAAGAATATATACAAAATCACATCGGTCACTAACCGGAGCCCAAAAGGAGAAGACGGCTGGTGAACGTGGGCTCACCGTCGCAGCTGGCGCCAGTTTAACGGCTGGGAAGCCTGGCGTTGAGGAGCAGAGCGGCAGTCCCAGGCCAAATGACCGTCTCGCCCGCAGTTCCAGCACGATGTAGGAGGGCGAGGGCTGGGCGGCATGCGGCGGGGTGATGGCTCGTCACGCCGATGGTAGCCCGTGTCCCTGGTAGATCGGCGGGCAAGCTCCGTCTGGACAGACTGCAGTGCGGCCACGGTCTCCGCCAGGGCCTTCACTTGGTCGGCTAGAGCGTCCCTGGTCGAAGATGGCTGCGCGGAACACGCGGGCAACGTTGGCGGGCGCTCCTCCGGGGCAGTCTCCGCGCGTTGGATTGCCTGATGTTGCATCGCGGCCCGAAGAGCGTCGTCTAGCGTGGCGGGGTTCAGCTCGCGGACCCGGATCCGCATGGCACGCGAATCCAGGCCCTGGACGAACTGGTCCTTTGCGAGGACATCCAAATCAGCAGGCTGCATGGCCGGGTAGGCAAGGCGTGCAGAGTGTCTTACGTTCTCGCAGAAGGAGCCCAGTGGTTGCTCCTTGGACTGGTGTGAGCCCTTGAAATTGGCGCGGTGTAGGTCCACGCGCTGGGCAGGCGCGAAACGGTCCTGGAGCGCCTGAATGAGAGCAGCGACTGGGCCCTGTCGGGTGGCCTGGGGCAGCGACTGGTAATAAAGCTGAGCCTCGTCGTTCAATGATATTGCCATGAACTGACTCTGCTCGGCGGGCGTCCAGGCATTGATGGTAGCCACTTGCTGAAAGTGGTTGAGCCACGTCGGCCAGCTGTCCGACAGCGAACCAGCAAATTTGTTTGGCATAATAGCGTGAGGAGGCACACGCGGGACGGCGGCAGGCGCAGCAGCAGCAGCACCAGCAGGAGCAAGTTGAGCCATGGTGACCGGAGCGCAGGTGGTGAACGAGATTCAGGACAAGAGGAACGAGGACCGCTAAGTGGACAGAGAAGCAAGCAAGTAGCGACCGAGACAGCAAGAGGACTAAAGAAGAAAGCACGTAGAGGACGAACCACCGCTGCCACCAGTGTGATATCGGCGATATCAACAGTTCATGCACTCAAAGTCTCTCTCTCTAAACTACGATCACAATCAATGCTACGACACAGTCGCAGACTTTCACAGTTGAACTCGGGGTCGAGAGAGCCTAACTCTCGGGAACGTACTTCTCTTGGTCTGAATCACGGAAAGGCAAAGAATGATTGTGAACACTAGCAATTTATAGAGGAAGTTAGCTATCGGGGAGATCGATAAAACAGCGCAGCGGAGCAGGGAGAAGGATCGCTAGATCGAGATGGACAGCGTAGAGTACGGAATAGCTAGCGGGAGAACAGCGGGCTTTGCGGCAGAAAGATCGAGACTACGGGAAAAGACAGCGAGAACTAGCGGAAAGAATATCGAAGAGAAACAATGGAAACGTTATGTTTAGGTAGCGAATGAAGAAAGAGAAAGAGACGCCAGCGGTGTAACGGAATCCATAACTAATTGCTAAAGCAAGGGAGACAGTGTAGGAAAAGTGATATCTATTATTATGTGTGTGGACCAGACAGAGTGGCGGCAGGAGGAAGAATAAAATCTGTGAAGCATTCAGGCTATTGACTGTGGTGTGCAAAAAGCGTGTCTATCAGGCCGGCGTACAGGTTTCTATAGATGACAGGTCATGCATGCAAAGTGTCACGTGCTCCTACGCTACGGTGCGCCAATACTACAAAACGGCATCGGAAAAACAAGGGCAGATACCCAATGAGGCTGTCATATACATGTACACACCTGCTATTGAAGGACCATACATTGCGCTTTTTGTCGATTTGGAATACTTTAGCAACCACCGATGGCGACTACCTCACATCGCCGTGATTCTATTCCCCAGTCCACTCCATCACCAGGCAGCACATTTACATCTTCTGCAACACCACCGATGACGTCATCCAGCGCTTCCTCAGCTCATACACCAGCTAGAGTGCCCAGACAAGGTTCAGCCTCAGATCAGACTACTTTGCCCAGAAACACGTTGTCACCATCATCATCATCATCATCAGCAGCAGAAGCAGCAGCAGAAATAGCTGAATCTCGAACAAAGCAGGTAAGACTAGACTGGAAACTCTTAAATTTACAAGTTCTTGCACTTATATAAAATATACGGGCACATGCATTTCAATTTTCCCGTGCAGTCTGTTGCTCTGTATCACTGGGTGTGCAGTGATACCTGTATGACGTCATCATGCATTAGTCATGTACATGTACATACAGGCAACACTGGCGTCTGTGCAAGACAGTGTTTTACTTTGTATAGCAAAAGTTAAACCATGAGTATGTTTACAAATTGTAATGGTGCTACACCAACACCGGTACAATGGATTTTGAACTATTTCCTTTTTTAGTTTTACTGCCGACTTCCTTGTGGTTGTCATAGTTACCATGATCATCGGTGATGTCAAGTATGTCAGTGGTGTGTTAGTACATGTACTCACCATACTGCACTTGAAAGTGCTTTGTCACAGACAGGTCACAGAAATGAATGGCTCTAACAGTCCATTCTGATCCATCGGTGTGTGTGTGTGTGTGTGTGTGTGTGTGTGTGTGTGTGTGTGTGTGTGTGTTTGTGCGTGGTGCTGGTGTGTGTGTGTGTGTGTGTGTGTGTACAGCCCGTATCGCCTATAAGGTTGGCGGCTATAGTAATATACCGGATATAGTGATCAATTTCTCAAATTCATTTTCATTTGCCATAACTAAGTATACACAGTTATCGCGTATAGTAATAATCGTCTATAGTAATATATCGCCTATAGTGATCAAATTCATATTTCAAAAGACCTTTATTACATTACTTTTGCATCGGTTATAGTGATTGATGTAAAATCAAGCGATGTCTGAGGAGAACAGGGTGTTACTTCTTCGTGAAGAACTTGTCCAGTGAGTGTTGTTTGGTGAGTTTTGCTCGTATAAGTTGCCAAAATATGCCTCCATCATGAGGAAATGCTGATTTTGTGTGCCAGAAGCTACAGCCAGCTACATGACATTGTACATGTATGTAGTGCGTATGTGCACGGCACGCTGAGTCGTTTGACACCCCACTCGCATACATTGCATGCAGTATCGGTCATAGTAATATATCGCTTATAGTGATAAAATGCTCAAAATCAAACACCAACGCTATAGGCGATACTGACTGTATGTGTGTGTGTGTGTGTGTATGTGTGTGTGTGTGTGTGTAACTAAGGTAACCCGGTAACTACCGGCATACCGGGGATTTCTGACTTTGATCGAAAAACTACTGGAATTGGCACTGAACCATGATTGTTCACAAAAACGCTGTTTTGTGGTGTTACAAGGGCACATGCGGCCCTGCTTTTCACAGAATCCCTTCCGTAGGGGCGATCTGACAATGAAGAAATCCAAGCTTTGGTCCCACCATGAGCAATGGGTTAGAAATGAATAAAAAGAAAGAACAAAATTGCCAAAATATTGCGCACAATTCGCAAAATACTCAAAAATTGCCCGAAAAAGAGAAAATAGACGAAATTGGCGAAAACTAGCTAAATAAGAGAAATGAGAGAAAATTAAGGGAAACTGGTTGTGTGACTAAGGGATTTGATTTGGCTGGGTCACGGGGTTGCCAAGTATGAATACAGGATTCCGTGTGGTACAGGGTCCGGCAACCAACGGATTCAATGACCACCCAGCCAGGTTTGGGCCAATGGCATCACTACTTTCAACCTCTATGGTCCTAGTGTCAATTGCTGTTGTTCCCACTGCTCTCCTGTATTGCAGCGCGATTACACACAGATCCACAAAGCAAGGTGCTCATTTGGTAGTGAGGGCGGCGGGAGAGATCAGTTTGACGGCCCTTGGGGACTAGCAACCAACAAAGCTGGTGACCTGATCATCTGTGACAGCTGCAACCACAGAATAAAGGTATTTGGCGGAGTATAATATGCATCTCCTTTTTTTAGCAATGTTTTGGCAATTTAAGATTCATCCAGAGTGTAATGCTCAGCCTATATTTGAGATCGTTATCGATCACAAAGACAGTACTAGAGTGCCACCATTGTTAGAATTTCCTACTTCCTCCGTTAACAAAAACTTCGTGATGGATTTTGATGGATATGAAAACGCTTAGAACAGGTCAAGAACAGTTTGTATCGACTGCCAATCACTGGACGAAGGTGATTCAGGCTATGTACAGCGTCTTTACAAGAGACACTGTTGGCGGAATGAGCAGAGAGTTCAGTTTGCGTCGCTTTCGCTCGACTAATTTTTGACCTGCGTCGCTGTCGTCATCTGCTGCATGCGCGTCGTCATCTGCTGCACGCGAGTCGTCATCTCTCTCGAGTCGTTGTTCCGCTCGTTTCAGCCTTGCCTCGGCTTCTTTGATCACACTCCGCTGACCTTGATGTCGCCGTCGTTCAAGTAAGTTGGCTTTCAAGCTGCGTTATCCGCCGCGATGGCGATTACTCGTTTCCACCAGGGAGTCGTGAAACATTATTTTTAGGGCTCAAACGGTCACGGTTTTACCCCTGACGGTTAACTGCTAAGCTAACGGTCGGTTAACCGGTTATAACCTATAAGCCACGGCAATCCTGCGGACTCTTTTTTAACCGTATATTTGACTATACTCATTCAAAAAATGTACCCTATTCAGTACAACGCACACTTGTACATTCTCTTGCATGCTCATTCATACATACTCTCACACCAAGAGACCAGATATGACCGAGTTGACAGCCCAGAAATTGCGTACGCGTGCGACAGCCCGTGAAAGTGCACACTTTGCAACCACCTGATACTTGAAAAATTGACTGAAAAGTTACTGCGTAACCGTTATCTTTATCGGTTAACCGTTAATTCTTCGTAACCGGTCTGCAACCGGTTAATCGGACTAATCGTTTGAGCCCTAATTATTTTACGACTCCCTGGTTTCATCTTCGCTATCCAGAACTCCGCGAAACGAGGAGTAAAGGCACAGCCAAACTGATTCCATTTTCTCTAATGGATACCCCTGTCAGCACTGAACGGCAGCGGCTAGCAAGTGCAATCGACTTTCTTTAGCCATGAGACTCGCATCGGACTGCAGACTTCCTGAAAGAATGCATGGTGATCATCATTCGAATCTTGGCTTTGCGCAGGTTGAACAAGAACTTGAGTTCAGAATTTGTTTCATTGAGCCGTGCGATCGGAGCAGCTCCTTGTTCACTCGCTCATTGTGTGGGCTCGCTGCTCCATTGTATTACTCTCTATCGCTCTCCAACTTACTTAGTGCTAAAGTGGTAGAGAGGCCAAGCAGCGCAATATCCCCTTGGAGAAGTGGTATTTCAGTTTCGCTCATGATGACTGTCATCACCTATGTTTCCACAGCGCAACCATCGATTCCGCTCGTCTTGTTGTGAAAGGTCGCTTTCCTTGCATCGTACCTCTTTCATGGCATGCCAGGGAAGGCCAAGAAAGTGATTGCGACTCATTTCACGGCAGTTTGTGCCCAAATCAGCCCCTCAAAAATCCATCACGAAGTTTTTGTTAACGGAGGAAGTATAAAGATATGGTTAAGGCATACATTTGTGGAATGTACCGATGCGGGTCTCGCACCCATCATGCATAACAGTGCAGCTGGCAGTTGACACCGGGAATGTACACATATGGCTTGCACCAGGTCAGAGGTGGCAAACTTCACAACGGTTTGATACATCGCACTACTTTTCCAAGTACATGTATATGCACGTCTGCACGCTGGCTTCACTCTTGCATCAACAAGGCTACAGTGCTTCTACACGAACTCAAAATTAATCATCTCTCTCTCTCTCTCTCTCTGTCTCTGTCTCTCTGTCTGTCTCTCTCTCTCTCTCTCTCTCTCTCTCTCTCTCTCTCTCTCTCTCTCTCTCTCTCTCTCTCTCTCTCTCTCTCTCTCTCTCTCTCTCAGCAAATATCAAAAATTCCCGATAAAGTAATGGCACATGCAGTTAGCCCTTTCACGAAGGTGCTCGCCCTTTTTTCGCCCTTTTGGCCCTTTTTGGAAAAGCCCGTTTCTTTCGCCCTTTATTGCGTTTTTGGTGAATACCGCCCTGTTTAGCTTTTTCAGCTGAAAAAGTGCTAAAATCTGTTTGCTCATGCATGCGATCACAGTTTCCGAGTGCTCGATGGGCGCCGCTTTTTTCGGGGGCAGCAAGTTGGTGAAGCTTGTACTTTGTACACAATGCTGTAAAAAGTAGGTTTTTTGAACTTTACTTCCTGTTTTGCCTTTCTTGGACCCATAAATGGAAGAGTGCGTATTCATTTCTCAGCTTAGGTTCATATCTGAAAATGTTACATGGCTATGCTTTACTGAAAAAAGAGCACATTTTGCCTGTTTTCACTGAAAAAGAGCACTTTTTCAGCATATTTTGAGGGACGCGAAAAGCACTAAGTGCGAATTAAAAGAGCACCTTTGGGAAAGGGCTACATGCAGTGGTAGAATTGGTGCAAGAAATCAATCACCAGACAGTTAGAGGTTCTGCTGGTAGCCAATAGCTACTCATGTACATGTATACGCATGCTGGACATGACATCATGCACATGTATACTCATGCTGGACATGACATCATGCACATGTATACTCATGCTGGACATGACATCATGTACATGTATACTCATGCTGGGCATGACATCATGTACATGTATACACAAGCTGGACATAACATCATGCAGGTCCAAGCAATGCACACGTGCATGGCCTCTGTTTAAACTATCTGTTATCACCTTGCACATTTGTTTTGCTAGGGCATGCCACACTAGAGAGAAAGTGTGAAATTCCGAGTGATAGTTTTTTTTTCCCTATACAACATCACTCATGTTCCTGAATCAGCCATTATCTACACACTCCACTGATGAGCTCTGTTGCTGTGTTGGAACGAACCGCTGTCTGCTGGGTCTGAATATCAACATCTCAATGGGATTGTCTTCGCTATGGTTAAAACTTAAAAATAATGAATCGTCCTCGCTATGGTTGTGATGTGAATGGGTCGGCCATCAGCGAATCGGGGAGTGGATGTTTGCCTGATATTTACTGGGCGAGTTTGTGGCTAGATTCTCACCATAGAATTACATTCTAATGTATATGTTTAGATCTGCGCTATGTCTGTGTGCATGTGTGTGCTTGAATTTGTTATTGTATTCCTTTTTGTTAATGCACTTAGATACATGGGGTTGATGGCCAGTGCAAGCAGACGGTTGGCGTCGAGGGAAGAAACTGTGGAGAGTTCTATGGCCCAGACGCTGTGCATGTAACAGATGATGAACGAGTGATCATTGCTGATACTGGTAACCACCGACTACAGGTATGGTGTTGGTGTTTCGCTACTGTTGTACTTGAACACTCCACATCCTACAACCTGCACAGAGGCAAAAACATCTAGGTTCTGTCTACCCCTGCTCTGTCTACCCTGCCCATTCCACCCCTGCTCGATCCACCCCTGCTCACACATACATGTACATGGCGAACTCTCACGCGCACTTACACACACACACACACATGCACACACACACACATCAACACACACACATGAACACACACACACATCCTGGTCCTGGTCCTTGTATACACTGCCATGTAGGTCACGTGTTTCTCGTTGAGCGAGACGGAGACGTGAGGAGACATGAGCGTTGGTGACGGGATAAGTCGTTTCGCCTCTTGAAACGCCTCTTGCAATTCTGACATTGCAATTGGAACTTGTCCCTTTCATCAGCAGTTGGACGCCTGGTGGATCGGTTGCAGTTGTGGATAGCA